AAGAAATTATATGTAGCGGAAAGTCGCTGGCAAAGGTCTACTAAAAAGACATCCCCTAATTTCTTAGAAACTAACTATTTTACTTTATTAATACTAATAGAAACATGATCTGTTTAAATGATTAAAGAAGTAAAAACTCATAATTCATATATTTGTAACTTATTTTTATACAAAATTCTTACGACTTTTTTTGCCAATTGCATTGTAGTTTAAATAATAGATGGTTATATTATTTATAATATTTATATCGTTTTATATGTTGTAATTAATTAGTTTTATTTAGATTTTTTCTTTGTTATTTTTTCACAATAGAAAATATAAAATTGGGATACAGCGTAAACCGCTACACCTATATTTGTATGACAGACCATAAGCTTTTAGGTTAATCTTTACAATCTCACGTTATAGTATCAAATAGCTTTATCGAAGCTGAAGGCAATTGTATATTTATAGGAAGACCCTAAAAAAAACTTTCGCGTTACATATTTGCATTTTGCACAAAGTATACATTTAAATCAACAAGAAGCTTTTTATATCGTGAAAAAATATTTTTCATATTTTTTATAGAAAATCTTATATACATTCACTTATAGGTATTTTGTACAGCTTTTCTGTGAAAGAAAAAGAATAGGAGTATATGGCATATATTATATTACTGTTTTAGAACCCATTTGGTCAGGCGCTTATTTTTGTCTATCTTACGAAAAAGTTAGTTATTGTTAAATTGGAAAGTATTATAAAAACTGCTATATTATCTGATAGAAAACACTCTAGTTCGTATTTATGTTTCTAAAGTTTTATTTTTGATTTTTATTTAAGAAATATTGTTCAAAACAGAGTGGTATGTCGGTGACTTTTGAATTCCTCTATAATAATAATTACTTTATAAGTTTTATTTTTTATCTTAATGCATCTTTAATGTTCTAATTGATATTTTTAAATAATGAAAACTTATAATTAAAAAGAAAAAAGAAAAAAATTTTTTAATATTATTTATTAATTATTTGTCTATTTATTTATAAATTAATTTGTTTCTTTTATACGTGAAATATATAAAAACGTTTTAAAATAGATTCATACATGAAATATTAATAAAATTTTATTTTTTATATAAAAAAAAATTGAAAGCATCAAAATCTTTTTACTACAGTTTCATATTACTTGAACGTATGCGAATCAATATGCGGATGGACAACATGATAATATATAATATCACATAAGAAAGTTTTATAGTTAAGATTACTACGTACCAGAAACAGCCGCATTTTCAAAATTCGTATAATCCTTCTCGCACTTAACACTGCACTGAGGCTGTCTTCTCTAGCAAGAAACTACGCTATTTCTCACGGGGCCTCGACATTGAATTAGACTGCGCGACTCAAGAAACTAATTTGTTTAAGGATGGACAAGTCTGGGTCGACTAAGCTACAGCTATACCAGCACATGTATAAATACAATCGGGTCGCGACCATCCACGAATTACAATAGACTTTCTTACGGGCTTTCTTCGATTGAACTTAAGCAATACTGTTACGGATTTGTGACGTTATACATATCGATGTAAAGAATGTCGTATATTCGGCCGTAATCAAAATTCCGTAGCCGCTTACTAAAGTCTTATCCTCGATAACGTGTATGTGTAATTGTTATACATAAATATAAAAATGTCTAACATGTATGTTTAACATGTTATATATATGCTAACATGTATTTATAAAATCATAGTTTGTATTGTAATATACTACTATTTGTCGTTCATTAAAATTAAGCATATTAAAATCTGTTAAAAAACATTCAAATTAAATCGAAAGATGTACGCTTTGGGGCCCAACGATAGAATCAATAACCTTGTTCATAATTTAGCGAAATTCAATATAAACACATCATCTTTCTAAAAAAAAATCTTCTACAAAATAAATTTATGTGACAGGGAAGAATAATGAAGCGTAAAAATCCGTGGAAAACCAAGTTGGCCTATTAATTACTATAAAAGACATAAAAGAGATATTTAAAGTTGCAAAACTTGTTTTTATTAAAAGGTACAAACACAGGTCGCGTTTCGTTCATGATAAAGAGTAGCCCGAATATCGCTCCATCCATCGCAAGGTAAGATGTATTATTAATAGAAAAGTGGTACTTCTCAAAATTAGCAACTTTTCAGAGCACTTTTTAAATTCGGAGTTGGAATGTTTTAACTAGCACAATGAGTAATTTCTATAACTTTACTTTCTTTCTATATCATATATACTTTCAATTATAATTCTTTAAAATTTTTTTTGTATCATGAGTTTTTAAAATTCGAATACTGCAACTTTAATTAAATTCCATTTTCTTATCAGAACTGTAATATTTTTCTATATAAACAAATAAGCCACATGTATGTCGTTTTTCCGCAAAAATGTATTTGAGATCCGATTTTCCTTCATTATCCCAAAAAATTCTAATTCTTCCCTTCCCAAATAACATAAAGTCTAAAATTGAGATATAAGACGTCTTTAAAACGTCTTTTAGACATCAAAGACGTCTTATGTCTCGATTTTGGACACGATGTTGTCTGGGTTGTGTCACTTTTCTATCAACGTAGCGATATATACAATATATAAAACAAGTAAAGAAAAGCAGATAAAAAGTCGAAACTTGTGATCATCATCCTCTTCGCATTTCTTCGTAAGTTATACTCTCAATAAGAAAATAAAGTAGAGAAAACAAGCGTCGTTGTGAACTTCCGACGAGGTCACGGGGATGTCACGTGAAATGCAGTGAACAACTCCAGAGTAATATTCCGGTCACGCTCCCCGATATGCTTTCCCGGTCTCCTCACCCAGGTCTCCCAGTGAAAGTCCACGGGCGAAGTCTCAAGTCTCAAGGAATACGGAATAAGCGATGTTCCCGTTCGTAAGGACGTATGTTGTGTAACGCGAGATTACGCGTAAATCGGACCGCCGTGTCAGTTCCGATACCTCGAGTGAAGTATTCCGAACGCCTGCGCGTATTACGCGGACACGATTTAATGTGATTTAATGTCCTGCGAATCAGAAATCGGAGATTGGATAACATTACGCTCGTCGACTTTCTTCGGCGACAAAATCCGTAAACAAGCAACATTTGGAAGGTAGAATGTGACTTAATTATGTGTATTGAAATTATATATCATAAAGGTGCTGTATAAAAAAATAATCTGATATTTTGAAGGTTTTTAGATGATCTTTAGTTTTCTTGTTTTAGATTGAATCATCTCTGGCACTAAAAATTTCTTAACAGAATCTCTGAATAAACGGCAAGAAATATTAATATTTCTTTATATGTATCTCAATTTATGGACTAATTTATTTTTTATCTTTTCTAATCAATCATTTTAGAAAAGATAATAATAAACTTTATTTTATAACTGTAATTACAGTTAATCAAATATTTAGTTTAGAGACATATACATATTTGACATTAGTATTACCAAAATTCGAGACAGATTTTGGTGTATATATAATTTATGGTTTTTATAAATACTCAAATTAAGTATTTTTGTTTAATAAAATTAAAAACTGAGAAATTAAGTTTGCTATTTACTACTGTGATCGAATAATACCGGGACTGGACCAAGAAAATGCAAACTGAATGAATTTATTCATTCAAATTATTTCGTTCCCTTTAAAATAATCCCTTCTTATTGTAATACATCTATACTAACGTTTTTTTCCAATCACAAATCATCAAAGAAGTACCTTTTAGTCGATTTTAGGTACAACCTTCGAAGCACGCAGCGTATTCTTTTTTTATCGCGTCTATTGATTCAAAATGTATCTGGTATAGTAACGAAGCGGTAATTTCAGCCGTGAGAATAGGAAAAAATCACGTGGTGCCATATCAGACGAATAGGTTGTGGAATGATATTTGTTAAAATTTTAGCTATAAAGTTACGAATAAGGTAAAAAGAGCATTATCGTAGTGCAAAATCCATGAATTTTCTTACCACAAATTCGGTTGTTTTTTAAGAATTGCTTGCAAACGATGCATAACGCTCAAATAATATTCTTTGTTGACCAGTTGAAAGATAATCTTAATACACAACACCATGATAATCGAAAAAGACGATAAATTTGATTTTTTACCGACTTTAACGAGGTCTCTAAACATTTTTGTTATGCTCGCATTTATGAGATTCAACTCGTTCGTCGCAGATTTGGTCTCTCAATCATTTAGTTTCCACCGAAATCCTCAATTCGATTCCACTTTGATGCAGATCAGAGTGTTGTTTCCATTGGTTGAGAGACTTTGTGGATCGAATTGAGAGTGAAATGAGCGCAGTCAAACACATTTCCACCAACTTAAATTTGATTCTACATTATTGCTTCGGTGGAAACTAGACCAATAATGACGTCAATTTCTTCCGCTCGACATCTTCCTGCATCGCATCTGAAAGTCCGCGCTTTCGATCATACATTAAACATTCTTATGAAACACGAAGACGCAAATGCATGCATGATGAACTCGCTAAATTTATGAAAATGGGGCTTTTGCCATTAATTTATATTTACGGCTGTACGCAAGTTCCACAATTTGGATCCGAATTAACGCGCTTTGACAGTTATTAAAACTCGAACGCAATGCTTTCCTGTTAATTATCTACGCAATTACTGCAGGCCGTTTATCTAGTAATGTATCTCATAAGTGTAAAATAAGCACAAACGAGAATCCTCTATTAAACTCTTTCGTCAGCTTAGCACGCAGCGTTATTTTAAATAGTAGATACGTATATAATATTCGACCGAAAATTATTAATTGCAATAAATCATTATGAATTATTTCTTTCTTTTTCCGCTTTTTCATTTCCAGCATTGCTTTCACAAATTATAATGAAATAGCTTGCAGTTTTAATAGCTTGTTCCGTATGCGCGATTATCAGATATCATTTTCGGAAGCGAAAATTTAGAAAATTACGTTTTAAGTAAAAACTGTTCGGGAAAACAGTAAGAAGGGTAAAATTAATAATATATTAGAGAAAATTCATTTTTTTCATGTAACGCAATTTTATTATTACAATAAACATAGGAGAACGAAATTGACAGTCAAAGGACAATGCAAACACGCTTGCAGTCACCAAGAGTTTCGGGATTGATTAGATTGTAATTCGAGAGCAACTTTCATAAGATTTTCATGAAGTAATAATGAGATTTCCATAAGACTCGTCTTGTGCCTATCTTAATCTCGAATCACCATAGATTCCAACGTTTCAGTAGTAGGAGTAAGGAAGGTTGTAATAGGGATAATTGTGACGGTAATTGTAATAGGGGTAGGCAGAGTACGCGTATGGAGAGTACGCGTGTGTGTTGTATGGCAAGTTGTAAGCGTTGTATGCGTACGGGGCGTATGCATATGGCGAATAATACGAGAGGCCTCTCTTATCCCTGGCGGCATCGACGTCCTGCGACTCTTTTGTTTTTTCAGCTTCGGAGGTCTCCACCGCCATGGCGATGGCAACGAGAGCCAAGAGGAAGATAGCCTGAAACATTGATTAATTCGACTTTCATCAAATTTTGTGACACAAAGTGGAAATTAAACGTTACAACTTGATCTTCATAATAAACAAGCCATTTTTTTAATTAACAAAATAACCGAAATGGATATATCTTCTGTTAAAATTAATTTACTGTGACAGACTATAAAATATGATATCTTAAGAATATATGTTAAATGATCTGAAACTATTGTATTTTTTATTGATGTGTAAGAGAATAAATTTTGTCTAATAGTCATAATATTTTTTGCAGCAGGATTTTATATTTAATCTTAATACTCAAAATTTTATGATTTTAAAATGTAATCGTCGATGCGTTTATGAAATAAATTTCGCTAATGAAATGATATGTAAATATATTTAAATCATGTGAGAAAGTAGCATACTATATAGGGCGAGAGATAAGATTGCAAAAATACACATTAAATGAAGATACAATTTGCAATTCTAAAAAGTTTGGAAAGATTTAGCAAGTTTTTATAAATATTATGTTTATCATTTTATTTTTATTAATTAATTGCAAGTATGAAAACAAATCTTCGTAAGAAGAGAAATTTTCTAAAATTCTATAGGAAAGGAATTCTACGATAATTGACTACACTGAAAAAAAAATGTAGTCAATTTTAATAAATATTTAGTTCAATACGGCCAACTAAACATTTACTTACAGTAAATAAATATTTGTTCAGTAAAAAGAATGATTGTTAAATCAAATTAATGTTTCTTGTATCAAATAAATATATCTTATAATAAATATATCCTAAATATATACTATATAAATATATAGTTGGCAGTATTGAACTAAATATTTGTTAAAATTGACTATATTTTTTTTCAGTGTATCGAAGTACACTAGAATAATATACGATGCTAAACGGTTTGATCCGAAACCGGAACATACAACCGAACCCAAGTCGATCGATTTACAGATAATCGCGGCAATGCGGTAATTAGATTATAATCGGCATATCACGATCGGCGAAGGAATTAATTTGAAAATCTATCAGAATATTTCATGCGATACGTATACATATACACAAGACTAGATGAGGCTTGCTCGTTCAGAATGCAGAAAATTAAAAATTTTCAAGCGATTTATCAGAACGGTGGTTTTGTCCAACAATAATAGTGAATGTTCGGCAAAGATATTGCAGAGAGATCTATCAGAATACTTACAAGGAAGTACTTCATAGTGGATTAGGTAGCTTTTGGAAGATCAGCTGCTGATGAAGTAACTGAATGTGATGTCTCTGCTTTTTGGTGGATGGTTTATATACCCGACGATCCGAGCGTTCTGTATACGTCACTAGCCGATTGATTAATGTATGAGGACACGCAGATGTGTGAGACACGTGGGTGTGTGTATGATATGTATGTGTTTGTCACGTGTGCGTGTGCCTGCGACTGTTACACAGGGTTGTTATACGACGCATATTATTTACACCTTCTCATATGTAATTCGTAACCGTGCGCTGTTACTATCGTTGTCATCGCGATCCGACAAGGCGTCACGCGCGTTCACGTATTCCGCGATGTACTCATGTACCTTTGATAGATGGAACTTGGATGAGGCAAGGGACCTTGGCAACTCGCCAAAGACGGAGGAAAGTGCAGTTTTATAACTGTGACATAATTATTACTGCTCACCATGCTCACTTCTTAGCTACGCGCTCACTAAACCTTAACGCGTAAATTAATTATTGCGCATTAGCGCGGTTGGTTAAGCATTAAATGATCTATGATCTAAGTTAGATTCCAGGATTTATAAAATTCTATTTATAAATTTATATACCGCCGCACATTTTGATACATACGTGTAATTGAATATTCGTCTTGTACTGTATATTTTTCATCTGTATATTTTTATTCGTCAAATGTTTTGCTTGTTACATGGTATATAAAATGTTAGATTTAATTATGGCAAATCTTCATAAGTTTCATAATTTCTCGTAAATCATTATTATAAATGAATTGTTATTCTTGTAAAATATCAGAAATAATAGAAGATGACTTGTATGACCTAAGCTTTGCATTTTTTTTAATTTTTTGCTGAATCTAAAATGGAAAATTGATGATTAGATTCGAAAGAAGAAGTATTTCTGAATATTAAAAAAACATGAAACATTTATATCTTATTTAAAACGTTGAAACTTTATTAAATACGCATTGGTACTTTATTTTAAATATATGTACTAATATTTTTATAACAAATTTTATTGTTTTTATTAATAACAACTTCACGTAATCACACAAAATTATTTTAAACTGGATTTTATATGTCAATAATATTTAGTACAAAGAAAAGCTTTACTGCTAAGTTACAAACATTCCACTTTAATATCGGTTTCGTGATCGAATTGGAATAAGTTGCGGTAAAAACACAACAGACACGTAAAAATAAGAATACAAGCAATATTGGCTAAATAATTTGTTACGTCTCGTAGTTGGTTCATCTTATATCTTGGACATTTTTTTAGTGATGCAAATATTTTCGAAACACTTTTAGAAACTGTTCCAGTGAATGCTTAATTATGCTCGATGAAATAAAATGTAGTAGAAAGAAGATTTATAATATTGCAAAAGTTTTAGTTTCGTCGAAATAATTTCCAGAAATAAATTTATGAAATCTCTTTAGCGTTTCTAAACAATATAGCTTTATTGGACGCTACAAATTACTTTTAAAATTCCAACGCTGGTATCTATATCACTGCATGATTACATTTATTACAGAAATTGTAAGCATTGCAGTTGCTCATATTTACATTTGCAAGAGCTAAATATCCAGTTGAGGTAAACACGTTTAATTAATTAAAACGTACGAATTTGTTTCAAACCGTTCGCTTGGACAAGCTTTCGTCTGCATAAACATTTATGCTAATTAATTAGTAACTTAAAATAAATAAATAAATTGTAAACAGACGAAATTTCATATAAAAGTATTTTTTTAAGGATGCACTAATTATTTTATATAAAGGAAATGTTGTTATATAATATTCTTCTCAAAAGTTGGAACTTAGAAATCGTGACAATGTATTGCATCAAAATGTATTGTATCAAAATAACATTTCCCGATCATTAATAACAGAAATCAATAAAAATTTGTATTTATATTTTACCTGTATTTGTATTTATACCTTAATTACGATCACTCTCAACAATATCATAATTTTAGATTCTGATTCGTCCTAGAACAGATTAAATGTCATCATTTAACAAAAAAGATCAAGGATTGCCAGTCTATGAATTGCAAAAAGAAAAAATATAATTCTCGATATTTTTTTGCGATGACGCCGCCATAATGTGTTTCTAAACTAGAACGGTCGGTCACATGACCCCACTATTCCAACTAAAATAAATAAAAATAATTTCGACATCAACTGTACCGCATTTTATTAAAATTTCGGTTTATATATTCAGTTTAGAATTAATAAAAAATGACGCACTTGCATAAAATAACGGTTAATATTAGGCTTCTCGCCTTCGTCGCTACGTTTTACCTATAAACATGAAAGAAGCAACCGATCATTAACAATTCAGGCCGTTAAACTTCGTATTTCTCTCTGACTTTTTACCTACATTTGTCGTCTTCGCATAGTTAAATTCGCGCCATTATTATCGCGCTTTGTAAAACAAAATATTTATATGAGATGAAAGGATGTCACTAAAATATACCATCATATATACGATGTTATATCATCATTTATGTAATGCCGAATATTTCACATAATTTCTCCCCCTAATATTTACTTAATTGATATTTTTCACAAAATATAACTTCGTATTAAGAATATTCAAGAAACTACGATCTTTCGATCGATTTAATCCTTTGCTGCTAATTAATTTCTCATCGTTAAATATAAAGTAAATTTAATGTAATAAATTACCCTATATATCGTAAATTACTCGTATAATAAGCGGAAGAATTATGGAAATAAACTGTGCTTCGAAATTCATTGCCAGTGCTATAAATTTATAGTTTACGTTACATGCACTATAAATTTTCAGTACTGGTAGTGAATTTTGAAACATAGTTACAACAGAATGATTAGCTCCGGCGCTATTGCGAACAGTCTGTCAAAGAGAAATTAATTGAAACATTACCTCAATTTATTTAATTAATAAGCGCAAAGCAATGCTTGAATGAAATATATAATTTGGAAATGATTTGGAAATATCTCGATGATCATACTTATAAATTCACTTTCGACAGTATGTATAAGTGGCATTTTATTGTATGGTCTGAGCGACCTTAATTTCAACTGCTCGCAATCGTAAAAAAGATATTAAACTGTAAATCACTATAAATGATGATATGATAAAATGAGCTCATCTTACCATGTCGATAATTAGCATTCACAGGATGGGCAAATATTAATGATTTCGTAAAGAATTTTAATAATTTATTCTTCACATTTGTTTTCCAAGATAAATTTTTTATATTACCTTCGAAAGAAGAGAAGAAAATTGAAGCGTGCTCGTTTAGAGTGTGTATTAATATATGTCAAAAATTAACATTTAATTTACATTCGCTCTAAAATGCGTAAATTTATGTAATCATCTTTCAAATCATATTAAAAATTAAAATATTATTAAAATTAAAAGCATATTATTAAAATCTTATAAATGTGACAAAATTTTAAATATGAAATGAAGACAGAAAGTCGCGCGTGGAAAACGAATTGTAAAGAACAGAATTTTATTAATACGCATGTTACAAACTTATTATATATAAAAATTTATTATACAGGGTGAGTCACTTAAGACCGGCCACCCGAATAACACCCACAGTTTTGAGGATAGGAAAAAATGTTTCAGATGAAAGTAGAACGGTTTCAAGGGGGACGTATTTGGTCATGTTTTTCTTCTAGGTGGAGGCGTCAAAAAAATATGAAGGTCACCTCCTTTTTTTTTTAATGGAATTATATAATTTTTTTTATGTAATATGATTTCTCTAGTTATTCTGCATATAAAAGTATTAAGGTAGAGATATAAAAAAAAACAGTAGTTTACGAGATATTTTATACTTTATTGTGACACATATTGAGATAAAATGTTAAATAATTCATAAACTATTAATTTTTTGATAATCTCTCTCATACCTTAATACTTTTATGAACAGAATAATGAGATGAATCAATTGGTGAAAAGAAAACACATAGTTGTTTATTTAAAAAATTATCCATTTTGCATATACACATTTTTTTTAAAGCAACTGTGAGTTTTCCTTCCATCAATTGATTCATCTCATTATTCTGTTCATAAAAGTATTAAGGGGTATGATTATTAAAAATTAATAGTTTACGAGTCATTTAATATTTTATGTCAATATATGCCAGAATAAAGTATAGAAAACTATTGGGTTTTTTATATCTCTACCTTAATACTCCCTTGAAACCGTTCCACTCTCATTTGAAACATTTTTCCTATCTCCAAAACTCTGTAAGCGTTATTCAAGTGGCCGGTTATAAGTGACTCACCCTGTATATACAAAATAAAAATACATACAATATCTACCAATATATAATTCAATAAAAAATATTTAATGATCCTCTTGGTTAATAATTTAAACGTATTTTCATAGTTATTTTTTAAATATATTGAAACTTATAAATTATAAAAAATTTAGCACATGCATATCATGTTCCATTATAAAAAAGAAGATAATGTAATTTATGTGTAAATGGTATTTGTTATAATTACAAATTAGATTATTAATGTTTTTATATTAAAGTAACCGGATCCTATATATAGTCTAGTACCCAATAAAACCTATGTGTGGTACTTACGAATGAGTGGTAGCATAACTACATTGCGGTAACAATTAATTTATGTGTCAGATACAATTAACTGCATTTAACAAATTACGTACATTGCCAATAGAAAGCCAATTAAATTACCAATAATAAATGTTAAAAGTGCACTAATTCACTATATTATTAAACATTAAGTCCATATTCACATCTCACTTTTATCGATGCGCATTTAGTATATAGTTTGTTGTATATTCTATAAAATTTCATAAATACGCGTATTTATCAATAAAAATGAAGGGTGAATACAGATCTTAAATTTTAAATATAATTCGCCAACAGTTAAGCAATCAATGTGATCATTCCTGCAACACTCGATGCAGAGATCTAAATTTTATTTGTACTCGTAAAATTTGAAAAAAAAAAAAATATATATATAGTGACACTTTATTAAATCATTCGTCACTAAACTCTTTTAACTTGGTTTTTAATAATTTTAGGATAATTTAACATAT